AAGTTGTGAAACCGGATCACCTAAAGCTATTTAAAGGATAATTTCTTAACAAACCATCGCATAATAGTATAGAAATAATTATTATAATTGTAAGTAACAAACCTTCTTCAGCTTCACCATGCCCATTAGAATCAAGAATACCACCTCCAATAACCATGCTACCTTTGTCCACTTTACGAATAATCATAGTTGGGCTTGTCATTCCGGTTGTTAAGCATTGCAGGACGATAGGCTGGTTGTAATGAATTGGGATGGGATTCCCATTATTTGATTTAATGGCAGCAGGTGGTGGACGGGGAAAATTTGCGTTAGCTGGCTGCTGTGGAGGATGATCATCTTTACCCTTTACATAACGAGGATCAACTATCCAAATTATAAATGGATCCCAACTTCCAGTACGAGCAACGAAGCAAGGGTGAGGTTGTTCATTTTGGCTTGATTGCATGTGGCCATTATTGTAATTCCAAGGGCCAAACGTTTGATTGTTATTTTGCATTGAAACACCAAGATACTTGGTGGATACTGTTTGAGAACGAATACGATTGAAAAGTGAAATTGTAGTTCCGTGATGAATGCACACTGTAGAAACAGTAATCATTATTAAATTGTATAAAATGGAATAGAACTCATTATAAATAAGAAGATACTTGCATTCCATGTTTTTTACACTTTGCCTTTTTTTGCTTGGTTTGCTAATAACCTTGATCGGCTTACTTGCAAAAGTGCCGAAATCATGACCCATAGGACTTTGAATATTGACAAGAACTTCAACTCTCTTTCGTTTTTCATCAGCATCATTTATATATAAATGTTTAGAAACACATTTTCCGCTGAAAGCCATTTCAGAACACGCATTAGGATCAAGAAGATTTCCGGATGAATTAATGCATTCAAGAATTCCTTGTTGATGTCCTTGTTCACCAGAAATTCCTACAGAGATCTTAGGTTGGCTGTATGTCGTGGATGATTGTGAATGTCCAATATTGTGCGGAGTCCACCAATTTGATCCCAAACTCAATGTTGTAGGTGGAGGGCACAAGAATCTTTTTTCTGTACCGTAAGATTTTTGTGCAACTTTTGAAGTCAAGACCATTACTGTTTTTTCGCCCATCGCGGCTGGATTAGTAGAATTCAAGTATTGTTGAATCACTGGCCTATTAAATATTTAAAC